CTCTGGATACCCAGATTGGAATCCCTGCTCATCCATGGAAACCTACTGGGTGACCTCAGGCAGTTCACACTCTCTCAGCCTCAGAATAAGGCAAAGGCAAATACTCCTCTGAATAAATTTTGTCCCTCCCCCCCCAAAAAAACATAAGTTCACCTAGAGTAACCATAAATCAGAAATGACTTGAAGGCACACAACAACAAAGTGCAGTAGCACAGTTCCAGTGTTATCCTGAGAAGGATTAATAGCCAGAGAGAGTTCAGAAAAAGTTTAATGAGTAAATAAAGAGCAAATATACAAATGTGTAAAGACCCAGGCACATGTTAGTTTGTGAGAGAAAGTATTTTAAAAATGCTTCAGAGATTGCACAATTATACTCTGCTGTGTTTTATTTTAAACAGAAAGCAATCATGGAGCAATCGAGGTGGTATAAATGGCACTGTTGTATTTCATGTGCAAGAAAGTGAACATGGGAAGTAATGCCACTGAAGCATCAATGCAGTAAAAGAGTGCACTTGCATGACATCCCCTTTCTGAATACAGAAGTGGTTTTCAAATGGCATGATCCAAAACAACTGACTAGTCTGATAAGCAACTCACTGCCTCGGCAGACGACTAATAAAGTCGTCTTCCGGGCAGGGAAGAGGAGGGGCAGCCACACGAGCGGCGCCCCTTCCTCTCCCCGAGGTCGCCCCCAGAAGCGCCAGCCGTCCGCACGGCCGGCGCACCGGGGATGACCTCACGGCGCAGCGCCCACATGCGCTGCGCCGTTTGAGCCAGGGAAAGTGCGCCCGCCGCTTTTGGGGCGCACTTTCCCTTAGATCTAAAAGGAGCGCCAATTTGGTGCTCCTTTTAGATGCACCGACGGTGCACCGCGGTGCGGAGGCTCCGCTCCGCCGGCGCTCCGTCCGGCGGCAGCTCCAGGGCCTCCGTCTGCCGAGGCCCTAAGATTACAATACAACCAGTGGAATTCAGAATTAAAAGCCAGGCAATAAGGAATTTGATGAGCACACTAATTCCTAAAGGGAACAAGCTAGACAACAAACTGCTTGCCATGCAACTTGTAAATTATTATGACTGTTGCAAATTGAAACTCATTCTCAACTACAGTACAGCCACACCATGCGTACAATCTAAGTTTGGGTCATACTATAAAGGGTATGCAAAGAACAGACGGGGTGATGTCCCCATCAGTAATACAATTCCACACCACCCAGTAGTAAGAATCTGAATAGTAACACCCGATTCTCATAAGCCCCCTCCCTTCAATAGCCTTTATTGTCACTCTCCTTCCTTCTTTTCTGACTTCATTCCCCCATGCTAATCTCCTTCCACACTCCAGACTGAACACAGTATCTTGCTTTGTATTCCAGTATGCAAAAGATTATTTATTGCTTCCTTGCTCTATTGTTGGGGGGGAAATATACCCAGCCTTGTGGGTGGAACACTTGATAAAAGATACAAATATTCTCCATTATATTCTGCCTCTTTGGGGGGAAGGGGTTGATGAAAATCATATTTATATAGTCAGCCAGATCATAATTGTTTCAACACTCCTTTGAGATGCGTTTTTCTGCCTGTGCAGTTTTCCTGACTTACTGATTTGCCAGGCTTAATCATTCCTCTTTGATCTATATGGTTACTGCTTTTGGCAGCACATGGTCCGAGAAAGCTGGGGCGCACTATCCCACCACAGAGGGCTGATGTCTCACTCTTGCTTGGACCACAGGCAGCTGGTGCTTAGTGCCCCATTTTATTTTATTTTTTAAAAAAAGTAAATCCGCATATGCTGAATGGAAACACGTATTTTCAACCAAAAATCTTGACGTCAGCAATTTTCATCCTTCTGAGTTATTATTTCCTCTGTCAACTATCCCTGAATCCATGTTAGCAAGATTTGGGCTGTGGCCAATTTTCTTTCATTCAGATCCTTATTCACTCATTTTCTTCCTTTTGGCCACTATTATCTAAAGGGTTTATGAGTTTAATCATGCACAATCATGTCCTGGCACTGGGAAGAAAGGACATAAAACTCATATCTTCTCCTTTTTACCTTTTCTTTCTTTCTTTCTTTCTTTCTTTCTTTCTTTCTTTCTTTCCTACACTGCCCTTTGATGGTAGGGAGTGCTAAAGTCATAAATCACATACCTTTAAAGATGAATAATTCAAATTGTTCAGTAGCATTAAGGTGAGATAATTTGTGTCAACAGTTGCTGCTACAAGAGCAGGCGAGGGAAAGCAAATATAGAATATCACACTCTTGCTTTCAGGAAAAAGTCCTGTTGCAGAAATACATCCCAAAACTGTTTCTCAAACTGCTGGACTCAATACTGAATGGGTTTGCAGGATCCTTGTGGATCAGCCTATTATCAACATTGCTACACTGAATACAACTCTACACAAAACTGTCAGTTATCAGAGGAAGACTTCTGCTTTAATGGACAGAATGAATGGGACAGATCAGTTTTGAAACAAAGGTGAAGACCATCTTATGCTGTAATTGTGGTGGAAGCAGACTGAAAATATACTTTCTTCCCTGAAAACAAATTCCTTGAAATGCCTTTTAAAATGGCATTTGATTCATTAGTGTTTTAAGTTTATAATTTATTTATTAATTTATTATCAATGATTTCACTTATGATTTGAATGAAACCAAAGTCTGCATAGCAAAACCTACAATTCTTTAAGCTTGTTTCAAAATAAGATCTATGAAAAATGGACCCAAACTAACAAGTTGAAAAAAGCCAGAGTTTGACAATCAGGCCGAAATATGCACAAAGAAGTGTGGGGTGGCAACCTACATATAAATATCAAGTCTGACCATAACTGGTCTAAAACTGTGCATACTAGAGCCAAATTAATAAAAATGCAGAAGTTCATAGTTTGTCTAGGGGTTACCCTAAATAGTGGACAGATGAGGTCCAAACCTTTACAATGGTCTTTGGTTTTGTCCCATTAGATAACACACCAAGTTTGCTAACTTTATAGTCAAGCATGTGGATTAGTACAGCAAAGAGCAAGAGAAACATTTACTTCACATTATATGATGGCTGGCATCCTGTTAGTCAGACTTAGGACATTGTTGTTGCTGAGTGCCTCCAAGTCATTTTTGATTTATGGTGATCCAGAGGCAAACTTATCATAGAACCCTATGATAGGTTTGCCTTAGGATCACCATAATTTCTTGTCAAGTTTCTTGAAGCTATTTCTTATTCCCATTTGCAATCGTGGCACTATTGCCATAATTACAAATGACCCTAAAATGCACTTAAAAGCTAGTCAGCCATCCAGAGTGAAAGAGGTGTGTGCTGCAGAATTACCTGACCAACCCCATCCCATGATCAAGTGATGCTATAGTTGGCAGAAGCAGGAAGCTCTTGGTAGATCAGTCACAACTCTTCATTGCTTGTGATGGGAAGGGGTTGGCCACCTTATCCTGTAGTACTCCACGCTCCAGAAAGTCAGGTCTCCATCGCTCCAGGTGGCTGGCTGGCTGGCTTTTCAGGCAAATTTCAGGGTTTGTATGAGGTTAAAAGCATAGCTACAATATCGTGGCTACATGTTTGATGCTGAATCTTGGCCTTGAGTCCCAGTGTTGTGGAAGAGGTAGGATATAAATCAAATAAATCAAAACAATCAGGGGGTGGAAAACTCTAGTGGGTCCATGGGCCATATACATCACAAAAAATCCCTCAAAACAAAAGCAAAAGATGGATGTAGAAAGAGATCCATTCCTGGTTTTGGAAAACAGGATTTTTTAAATGTTAAACAGAAATAGTGGGCTGTTATTTACTTAAAAGATTAATTGTTGCTCCTGGAGGCTACCAGGAGAGGTGGTTCATATGTTGTGGGGGGGCAGAGAAAGGAAAGTCTAGGGAATTTGGTTAGGTTGAGGTATGTAACACCAGCCTTGGGGTGGATGTTCTCCAGAGCCACAATTTGCCCACAACTGCTCTAAATCTCTGTTTGCTTGTCACTCAGCTCCTCATATTTCCTGGAGCTCAGCCACAGGTAGCTGCTTTGTCTTCCTCCATGGTCTCTATGGCCATCTTGGAAAACTGTCTCCATCTTGGGAAATGAATGCTGGCTTCTTTATGAGTGAAGCTCAGCAAGAAACTGGGTAGTCTTTACATTAACAGGGCCAGAGATTATTTTAAATACTGGACTAGTTTTTAAAAGCATCAGTGGAAGTCAAGTTTCTCCCTGCAGATTGTTGAACTAAAATGACTAAGCTAAGAACCTTCCAGGTGCCAGCTTAAGTTATATTTCATCATGTTCATATACAATGTGATTAGGGAGATTAGATGCTATGAAAGCCCTTGATGATGGATGCTCAGAGTGCCCACACAAGCACTGAATGGAGCTACAATTTGCTGGAGTCAAGTAAGGTGTTAAGGGTGAATCACCATTTCACATATCCACAAGATTTGATTACATTTGGGCACTGATTTTCGCAGCAGCCATAGCACACAAGAAAGAATGAAGAGATGTAGACCAATTGATGATCCAAGGTTTCTTGGTACGATTATCCAAAATGCACTTAGGAAAGCACAAACTGCTATAAATACTCATGCTAGTATTTTATAGTGGTTGCTTAAGTACAGTGGTCCTTGAAGATCTTTTGCTGCTACTTGAAGGTCTATCCACAAATGCATATCAAAGCCTTCCCTATACTAAGAAATCTACTTTTAGGGTCCAAATATTCGATTTTTATTTTGAGGGGCAGTTTTAAAAAATCTGAAGTTCCTGCCAATAAAGCCTTAGAGAAAATTGCTACTTCAGTCCAAATCCCAATAATTATTTGATGCTGATGGCTAGGTCAAGTGCTGGCACATTGGTCCCTCAGTTCTATAGGCAGGTTTTTTTAAAAAAAAAAACTTTCAGTTTGGCCTGGAGATCAAAGAAACCTCCAGAATATTTTACTTTTCAGTGTGCTATTTGGGACAAATTAATGTCACCGGACAGCAGGAAATCTTTGATATTTGTAGGAAACCAGCAAAGGTGTCAGTGTGGTGTAGTGGTTTGAGTGTTGGACCAGGACTCTGGAAGGCTAGGGTTCAAATCCCTGCTCTGCCATGGAAACCCACTAGGTGACCTTAGGCAAGTCACACTCTCTTAGGACCTTATCACATGCGGGCCGCAAAGTGATAATAAAGTGAAATAAGAATAAATCCAGTAATAAAC